TGCATCGGCAGGCGGACTCTCAACCACTGCACCACCAGAGAAGCCCGCAGCCACCCATTTTAAAGATAATGAACGTGGGGATCAGGAAGGAATCCCAGGGCCTTAATCACACACACAGAACTAGAACCTGGATCTCCTGACTCTCAAGAGGTCTTCTTTCCTCCATATCAATAAAAACAACAAACACAAACAATGCTGGCAACTCATTGTCCTCATTTTAAAATTCATTTCAGTCAAAATGCTAAGTCAAAAATTAAACAGTGCACAATAATAATGGATGAGAAAGCTCTTTCTAGTCTCATAGGTACATAGGTAAACCTCTTGAAAAGGTAAAAAAAAAACCTCCTTCAATACTAAAAAGTTCCAGACTCAGCTATAAGAAACTGTTGAATTGTGTTTCAAGAAAACACACTGAAAACCTGCTAATGTGACTCAAAGAAGTAGGGAAAAAATGATATTCAGGGAAAGATATCTTTGACGTAAAGGATGATTAACAAAGTAAGGTTCCAAAGTTACCCTCTGTAATAAATACAGCACAGAACAGGTTTAACAACAAGTTCTGTGAGCTTCTGAAGAGAGGATACGAAAGGTGATTGCCTCGCCCAAATATGTAATTAGTTTTGTTTCTCAGAGTAACAGAGGAGGAAAATCTATCTTTGAGGATTCAGAGCCAAGTCAGTCAGCCACTAGAATAAGTTTCTGACTCATAAATTTAATCAGACATATGAGTTTCTTTTTTCCATTTCGATGGCATCTTAAAACTTTTTATTTCTCAGAGGCAGAAGAGGAGGCAAAAAAGAGATCAATTCTTGTGAACAATGTCTGTAACCTTCACCCTCCTCGAACCTCACAGCACAATCCTAGCACTGAGGCAAGGGCCTTATTAACTCTTGAATATAAGAAAATCGGGGGAAGTGGGGGCTGGGATGTAGTGAGAGAGTAGCCTTGCCATATACACACTACCAAATGTAAAATAGATAGCTAGTGGGAAACAGCTGCATAGCACAGGGAGATCAGCTCGGTGCTTTGTGACCACCTACAGGGGTGGGATAGGTAGGGAGGGAGGGAGGGAGACACAAGAGGGAGGAGATATGGGGATATATGTATATGTATAGCTGATTCACTTTGTTGTATAGCAGAAACTAACACAACATTGTAAAGCAGTTATACTCTAGTAAAGATGTATTAAAAAAAAAGGATGAGTGTCATATGGGACAGGGCCACCCCCAGTGGCACTCATACTAGATCAGTGCATCCCTTGCCCACCCATATGTACCTGAGAATAAATTACTGTTGTTTGGAAAAAAAAAAAAAAGAAAAAAAAAAGAAAATCACAAGCTTTACTGGAACCACTAAAAAACTGACCAATCAAAAATAAATCCCAGTGTGATGAACTTTCACTTTCACACACAAAAAAGAGCACTTGCTTATTGTTGAAACAAAAGTAACAAGTGGCACCATCCTAAAAGTACTAACAAGCATAGCATTAAAAAAAAAGAGGGGTGCGTTTATAGAACTGATCTCTGGGAATTCCCTGGCAGCCCAGGGGTTAGGACTCTGCACTTTCACTGCCGAGGGCGAAGCTTCAACCCCTAGTCAGGGAACTAAGATCCATGAAGCCACGTGGCACAGCCAAAAAATAAAAAGAAAAAGAACTGATCTCATAAGACAACCATGCATTTAAAGCATATACTTTATATATATACATAATAACATATTCTAATAGTATTACAATAGCTAAAATAGTGCTACTTGAATAAGGAAAAGTTATTAAAGCTTGCTACTACTAACATTTAACACAAACACTCCTATATTCCAATGATACTTTCCTCATAGTTGACATCTTTGTTAAAGGTTAAAAATGCCTAGATAATAAGTTGGTGTCTATGGACACATATCAAGAGGATACAGATTTACATATAACGTGGAAGTGCGTTAAACCCTGACCAGAGGAATCAGAGCTCACTTACCTTCACAAAGCTCATGCGAATAGTACACATTTTTGTGAGCTCATAGACTGTCTCGAAGCCATGGTTCACAGACTGTGCCAGTAACTGAGCAAATTCTTGGTTGTTAAAAATTTTCAAACTACACCCACTAGGGATCTTGCAAACAGTAGTGGGATGAAATCCGTGATGGTAGTTGCAGTTCCGACTCTGCACAAAGATACTACTGTCACTGAGGCATTCGGCATATACCTCGCCTCCGACATAATAAAGATGAACTCCTGCAGGGAGACAGAGCATAGAGTGTGGTCATTATCACTTTTCACAGCTGAAAAGCATCCGTGTAGCTTCAGAACGTAAATTTACATGGTTGATTCGATAAACAGACATTCTCCAAGTCTTGCACAATTGATAAAATCTTAGTTAACTGTATTACTTAATACAATGTCCATATGTCAACATGCATGTCTAGAAGGTTGTAGGAAATAACACAATAAAGTCTCTTAAAAATAAGTAACAGAGTGCAGCAATTTCATTTTGAAAAGTATTTAATGCCTATTTGGCCATGGATTGAGAGCAAATTCTCACTTTAAAAACATAGCACAGGGGCTTCCCTGGTGGCACAGTGGTTGGGAGTCCGCCTGCTGATGCAGGGGACATGGGTTCATGCCCTGGTCCGGGAGGATCCCACATGCCGCAGAGCGGCTGGGCCTGTGAGACATGGCCGCTGAGCCTGCGTGTCCGGAGCCTGTGCTCCGCATCGGGAGAGGCCACAGCAGTGGGAGGCCCGTGTACCACAAAAAGAAAAAAAAAGAAAAAAGAAAAAAAAAAAACTAGAAAAAATAATTCATACTGTGTGGAATCTGATCTCACTCAACTATTATCTGCTCCAAACTTCTTCCTGTGAGACCCAGAGTGCCAGGAGTGTAGGAAATCGATCTTATCCAGCCTTTAAAAAAAATGAAAGGGGAAAAAAAACACTCTGCCAAAACCCCACACCATTATAGGCCACCCAGCAAACAGAGTCACATCCCATGTGGCTTTCAGTGACGGACCTTGCAGGTAACTCTGGCAAAGCTTAGTCAATGCTAGAACTATTTATTGTCTCATCCAAAATACTATGTGCTCATATGTGGAATCCAAAAAAAACCAGTACTGATGAACCTAGGGGCAGGGCAGGAATAAAGATGCAGACGTAGAGAACGGACTTGAGCACACAGTGGGGGGAAAGGGAAGCTGGGACAAAGTGAGAGAGTGGCATGGACATATATACACTACCAAATGTAAAATGGATGGCTACTGGGAAGCTGCTGCATGGCACAGGGAGATCAGTTCAGTGCTTTGTGACCACCTAGAGGGGTGGGATAGGGAGAGTGGGAGGGAGACTCAAGAGGGAGGGGATATGGGGATATATGTATACGTATAGCTGATTCACTTTGTTGTACAGCAGAAACTAATACAACAGTGGAAAGCAATTATACTCCCATAAAGATATTAAAGAAAGAAGGGAAAAAAATGCAAGTCGAGCTGCTGGCTGTGTCTACAGGGCTGTCATGATTTGAATGAACTAAAGTATTTTAGAAAAATGAAAAAAAAATACTATGTGCTGTGTTGATATGTATACACAATGGCAAAGACTGCTGTAACAATTAAATAGCCGCTGGAGCAGAAGCCCATTTTTCTGTCTGATGTAGAGAAAACAATTTAAGGGTGTGTGTGTTTGCTACTTTTTTCCTGATTATAAAAATGAAGAATTTTCATGTTAGAAAATTTAGAAAGTAAAGCAAAACATAAAGAAGCAGAAAACATTATCACTCCTTTAGTGGCCCAGAGGCAGTAACTGTGAATACACACATCATATTCGGTCTTGAGTATCATTAAACTTTCTTTGCAAACATTTAACATATCTCCACCATTGAATGACTACAACAATTTATTTAAAGGATTCTCCCATTATTGGACCATTCTGTTGATACTAATTTTCTGCTATGATAACAATGTCATGATGAATGTCTCAGCATAATTTTTGATAACATTGTTAGGAGCAATTCCTGGAAGTTAAGTCATTGGATCGAAGGCTCTTGATTCACTTTGCCGGAGTGCTTGTATCAATATACACTCTCTCCAGCAGCAGATGAGTGCCTTTCTCACTTCACCCGTGCCAGTACTGAGTCTGAGTCTAAAACAACAACAAAATTCCCCTAATTTATAGCTGGGAAACAATATTGTTTTAATTTGCATGTGAGCCTTGATATGCTCTCCTCTGTTTACTAGCCATCTGTGTTTCTCTTATGGATTTACTGTTCATATTTCTTACTTATTTATTCCTCTGGGGTTCTAGTATTTTCATTAGTTTTTTAATGAGCTGCGCATATAGGAAAGATATAAATAATTTGTTTCTTATTTGTTTCCCCGTTAGTCCTTTGTCTTTTCATTTTGTTCACGGTACCGTTTTTCTTTAACCTACAGAAGTTTGAAATCTTTAAGTAGACAAATCTCTTGCAATCTTTCTGTTGCTTTTTATGCTTAGAAAATCTCTGCCACTCTTTTTTTAAAAACATTTTCCAGTCTATCTCATCTTTTTTTTTTTTTTTATTTTATTTAATTTTTGTCTGTGTTGGGTCTTCGCTGTGGCAGGCGGGCTTTTCTCCAGTTGCGGAGAGCGGGGGCCACTCTTCATTGCGGTGCATGGGCTTACTGCGGAGTAGTTATGGCACGCGGACTCAGCCGCTCCGCAGCACATGGGATCCTCCCGGACCAGGGATTGAACCCGTGTCTCCTGCACTGGCAGGCAGACTCCCAACCGCTGCGCCACCAGGGAAGTCCTCTCTGCCACTCTTTTGCCGCTCCGCGGCCCGTGGGATCTTCCCGGAACGGGGCACGAACCCGTGTCCCCTGCATCGGCAGGCGGACTCTCAACCACTGCGCCACCAGGGAAGCCCCTCTCTGCCACTCTTGATCAATATATGTTCTTCTAGCTTTTCAACAGCTTGCCTTAAAAAATAATCCAATTCACTAATCCATTTGCATATGTGGAATGGGGTCAGGGTTTCTACCCCCAGCCTCCCCACAAAGCTAACTTTGTTATTGCAGGACCACTGGAAGACTCTACTAATTTGTTATGCTTCACTTATCATACATTAAATTTTTAAATACAGTATAGTCTGAGTTTACTTTATTGTATTGTTCTATCTACACACCGATTTAATTGTAGTTTCATAATCTTTCATTAATCCTCACCTTGAGAATTTTTTCTTTACTCTCCCATTTAAAAAATTTAGCTATTTTCACTTATTTATCCTTCTGGTTAATATGCAGAATACATCTTCCAACTTTCAAAAACAAAACACTGTGATTCTGACATGGATTGTTTAAACTATGAATTAAATTAGGAAGAATGAATATCCTTAAAATGTTCTCACAATATTAAGCCTTTTCTTTAAGGAACACAGGCTACCTATTTATTATTCAAATTTTCTTTCGCTCTCAGTGAAATTTGGTTTTCTTTACATAATTCTCATGTTGCTGGTTCAGATTACTTATGCATTCTGTTGCTACTGAGAATGTAATTTTCCTCTCCATTATATTTTCTAACTGGTTGATTAAAGAAAACTGATATATAACTTCTAAAAGTAGAGTCGAGGCATCTGGAACAATTTGAAATAACAGCATTCCCAGAATCCTTATTTTCTTCCTAATTGTTAATAGGAATGTTCCAGAGTACAATGGCTTTTTACTACATTGGAGTAATGGTCAACTTTAGAATATAATGAAAACTATGTCCCTCTGTTCCAAATGTATGCAAAATTGTGTTTATATACAATTTCAGGGGTTTACAGACCACAGAAAGATACCCATACGATATGAACCTGAGTTCTGACAATTCATCATTAGATTGTAGTTTAGGCTTATTTTTTTCCTTAAGCATACTAAGGAATTATCTATCAGTTCCTGTTTTAAGAGTTGTTGTTTTTGTTTCCAGGATTCAATGTTAAACTTCATCTCAAATGTCTTTTAAGCACCTATTGAATAACCTTTTAATTTGTTCTAAATTTCATAGTAGGTCATTTAGAAAAACTTTTACTCTGGAAATAATTTCAAAACTTACAGAAATAGAACAAACAACAAAGAAAAACAGAACAAAGAACACCCACACAACCATTCTCCAGATTCACCTGTTGGGACAGTGCACTCCATATGCTTTACCATGGGTACCTCTGTCCTCTCTATTCTTCCACACACACCCTCATACACACACACATAGGTACATACATGTATACATTCGGACACAGGATTGTTTTAGGTGGATAGATATCTCTATCTATAAACATAAGATACATATATAATTTCTTCCTGAACCATTCCATCATGATCCTTTACCTCTACGTACTTAAGTGTGTATTTCCTAAGAATAGGGGTTTTCTCTTACAAACCACAGCATAATCAGCAATGCTACTGCATTTAACACTGATGTAATACTTCTATCTTATCTACCACTCATATTCTAATTCTGTCTGCTGACCCCAATAATGCTCTTTGTAGTATTTTTCCCCTGTCTGCTGCAGGATCATGTCCAGGGGCAGATTATTACATAGAGCTGTCATGTTTCTTTAGCCGTTTTAATGTGGAACATTCTCACACCTTTGTCTTTCGACATCAGTATTTTGGAAGAATACAGTCCCTTCTCACCCTTTGTGTCTGGGATCTGTCTGAAGGCACCCTGAGATTCGATTCAGATCTGCATGCTCAGCTGGATTTCTGTGTAGGTGACGTTACTCCCTCCTCAGAGCACCACAGCTGGAGGTTCACGACCTCGATCTGCCTCTCACTGGCGATGATAATTCTCATCGCCTAGTCAAGATGTTGTCCAATTTCTCCACTAAACAGTTACTGATTTTTATTCTCCCATGTCAGTAATAGGCAGCCTGGGAGGAGATACTTGAAGACCATGAAAATATCCTGATTCTCATAAAAAATTCTCTCTATATTTAGCATCACTGACTATTCTTGCCTGATGGCTGCAAAATGGGGACTTTCTAACTCCACCAACTCACTCTGCATTTACCAGTCAGCCTTCCCCATTCATTTATCTATCTATTATCGGCATGGACTTACGAGTTACTATGGTTTTCCAGTGGTTTAAAACTCACTACTGTATTTAATTATTTTGGTGCTCGAACTATCCCAGAGTTGGCCAGTGGAAGCCCCTCCAAGTTGGCTCCTGGGAAATGCCTCCATCATGTGCATAAGTATTTGTTTACTTTCGGACATAACAGAATGTTTCAGCGTCTACGTGTCCCAGCCTTGGAGTCAGCCCTTTCTCCAAAAGCCCTGGTTCCTCTTAGCAGCCATGGAGTTAAGAGATGATGGTCTGAGCACTGTATGTGCTTATTACTACTGGGTATCTTTGCCTCTTGGCCCTCTCAGCAGACAGATCAGAAACTATATGCATGCAGAGACACATCCACATATGCCTTCATACACGTGCATACATACACGTGTACAGGAGTACATAAACATGCATATACACATTATTAAAATCACGATCTCACACTGATACCTCCACAGGGTTTATTTTTTACCCTCCTCCACACCTGTATGTCTCTTCTTATTCCACAGTGAAAACCCAGGTTTCCCCCAACAACCACACATTTAGTCACTTGCTTAATATTATAATACATCTTAAAATTTCATAACTGTCTCCTTCATACTGCCACTAAATAATCAAGTCTATTAGAAAGAGTTCAGGATTTGTTTGCAGTCGCTCTACCTTACCTGGCTCAGGCTGAGGTTCTACAGCCAAATACTGTATATTCATAAGTTATTTTGAATTAGTTCTTTTTTTTTTTTCCCCAGTGGGTCATGGTATTCATTTGAAATACATTCGGTTTACTTGTTTTCATTTGCTTTTTTGCTTTTAGTTTTAGGTTGTAAGGAATTTTTTTAACAGCTATTTCATTCTCTGGCAAAACACGTGATAGAATGGTGTCCCCAGATAGCAAATCACTATTCCAGCTATAACTATTATGAGTCAGGAGACCGCAAAAATTGCTGATTGGAAAATGAAGAACTTCCTGATAATACAAATTGAAAAAATATTTATAAACCGTACCGGCAAGTGTGTATCATCTGGTACTGACTCCAGGAACGACTGGTGAGTTCTGGGGGAAGAGGGACACGACAGACAAACATGTGAGAGAGGTTCCAGTGAAAACTCACCTTTCCCGATATGTCGCCTCGTGTTTTCGATAGTGGAATTCCGGTTGACGTTGGAGAGCAGCCCAAGGCAGAAACGGTTCTTGTTGTTGGAAGGATCGGTGAAACCATCCACCAGCACGCTCGTGGAGGAGGCATGGAAAGCTTCGCCCACACGATTATTGAGCTCGTAGTAGACAATAGAGCACCAGTGTTTTGGTTCCTCGTAAGCAACTGCTTGAACATCTTTAAGAAAGAAAAGCTTAGAGTCAACCACGGTGAGTGCCCTGGGCTCTCAAAAACTGAAACTGTGTGGTGAAGTTGGCTCAGGGTCGTGGAATGAAGATGTGAAAAAGCCACTGCTATGATAATGTATAGAGTTTATCTCTGATGTCAGAAGCAGGTACTCCTTGCTAAGTGCGACATTCACCTTTCATTGGAAGATATTTTCTCCAACGGCTATCAGATAACCAAGACACTGGCTAAGCAAGCACACGAGCAGCATGTGCTGAATGCTCTGTAATTCACCAAAATGGAAATGACCCCACCACTGACCCTGGCTCACCATCTAAAGAAACGCAACAAGTGGCAAGTGAAAAAACAAGTGAAGAGAGAACAATAGAGGACAGGAAATGTGCCAAAGGTGCTGGCACAAAGAGGAATTACTTTGGACAACGCCTCAGTATGCCGACACTTTTTCAAAGCAATGAAAATCAGTTTCTAATTATTGATAAGAAGTTACCTTACTTCACATTCGGTTGCCAATAACTCTCACAGCTACAGCTTTGCTCCAGTCCTCAAGCTCAGGAAGAAATCCTGCCAGCTGGCCATTCTTACAGGATGAATCATATCTCTCTCATCCAGATTTCATGCTAACTTCCTTATATTTGCTTTAAGTCATGCAGAGCAGGTGTGTTTTGTCTCTCCATTCCCAGAATGGGCCAACAATGGAAATTACCCAGCTTTACTGACAGGATGCAGCTTGTTAAGTCAAATCTCTTAAGACTAACAAATCTCCAAACAGAACATGCTTCTAAACATTTGCAACTAAAAAGTTCTAAAGATAAGTTCCTTCTGTAGTAAAACCTCTTATACCACTGCTTTAGCAATTCCAGGAATACAAACCATATATATCTAGTATGCCAATATGTAATGATCTGAGGTTTATGAAGACTTGAGTGTACAATCTTAAAAAAAAAAAAAAAAAAAGAGAAAATCCACATTGGAAGCATGAACTCTAATTGTTAAGGGAGAATGACCTCTGCGTTCTTAACATCAACCTCCACGAATATTAAAATGAGCTTTACTGTAGAATTCGGTAAAGAAAATAAGGAAAATGATCATTAAGAAAATCCACACATACAGTAACTGCTTTATACACTTAAGAAGGTAAGCTGAACACAAACATACACCATCTTCCCTGTTTGCTAAGTGTTATCCCATGTCAATAAGCTGTATTTCAAAGAGTAACGTTTTAGTGATTTACAGGTGCCAAATCTTAAAGAAGACTGCAACATCATTAAGAGAAGGCTTTTTTTCCGGCTGTGCCGCACGGCAGGCGGAACTTCCCCGACCACGGATCAAACGCGCACCCCCTGCATTGGAAGCTCGGAGTCTTAAGCACTGGACCATCAGGGAAGTCTAAGAGAGGGCTCTAATCAGCTATCAGGATTGCTCACAGGTCTATTCATCCAGGTTGGAGGCTGACAATTTTTTTTCTGTAACAGGCTAGAAAGGTCTTGGGGGACACATGGTCTCTATGGCCCCTATTCAACTGTGCCCTAGCTGTGCAAAAGCAGCCACAGATAATATGTGACGAATGAACACAGCTGTGTCCCAATAAAGCTTTATTTACAAAAACAGGGAGCAGGCTGAAGTGGCCTGTGGGCTGCAGTCTGCTGACCCCTGCTCCAGGAAAACCACCAAAGTATAACAACCACAAGGCCAATAGCCCGTCCCATGAAAATATTAAGTGTAAACTTATTCTAATGGGGAAAGAATTTAAAGGAAAAATTTTAAAGCAAACTGAAGGTCTATTTCCTGAAATCAGACATTTTGGGCTTAGCCACCATGGCTGCAGGTCCACAGGCTTACAACTGTTTCACAGTGCTGTGCCCATTCTCTCCTGCTATTCTGTTCCCCAAATACACATTCCAAGGATGTGTGAGACAGGAGTTATTTTCCCCAACCAAAATCTTTGTCAACTCATAATTTTATGTTTGAGAGTATATTCTAGAGATTATCAAAATATGCAGCTAATAAAAAAGATGACAGACATAGCCAATAAAAAAGATATAAGAAATGTTTACATATTTAAAAGGTGTAAATTCCAATTTATTACACTGCACACTGAAGGAAGGTTCTTTGAGTTCATCCACAACTTTTAAGAAGTTAAAAAATATCAGCACCTCTGATAAGGCCCGAGGTATCTCCAGACCTTCACTTAAAAAGTGATAGGAATGAGATAAGACATACCTAGTAATGAAATGGCATTTTAACTTCAATTTGCATTAAATGAATACAAATTGAACGATCCATCTCTGCCGCTGTTGAGCGGGCCAGCGAGGCACTTTCCTCCAGGGGAGGTTACCTGGGGACAGTTTCACTCAATGTGTGGTCATGACTTCTTAACAGATGCTCAGGGATTCTCCCAATGCTTATTTACCCGAGTTCCCTGCTCGCTTAAGCCTCTGCAGACCTGGCAGAATGATGGCATCCTCCTCTCAGACACTGCCAGGGATCACAAAGACCCACCCTCTACTAGAGAGGAAAAGAAGTCAGCTCCTCAGGGTAAGAAAAGGAAAAACATATGCCTCCCATCCCGTCTTGTAACAAGGTAAGAAACAACTAAATAGAGCAAGAAGGGAACAAAAGCTATTAGTTGTTTCATCTATACATAGATGAGGCCTGGAAAATAGATGGGGCTTATGAATATCTATTCCAACGACCAAAGAACCTTTTGGAAAGCCTTGTTATATGAACTTTAAATTCTGGAAATCACCAGTGAAAACTCTAGTTTTACGTTCTGTTTTCTCCCTCAACATCCTTTGTCTTTCACATAAAAATACTCTTATCACCAATTCAAAAGTATTGAGTACTGAAGTTATAAACAGATGACTGCACAATTGTATCTAGGCCTTCATTAGTTAAATCAGTGTGCCTGTTCTTCATATAAAAGGCTTATCTGTAATCCAAAGAGGTCTTTCTATCGAGCTTCTCTTACTATAAGTGCTCTATCTTTTTCAAATAGCTATCTTTTTAAAGACTAATAAAAATCTGTGAGAGAAAGCAACACTTGGACAGATAAACTTCAGACTCTGAAAGGGAATAAGCAGCAATTCATTTTACCTCCTCTGCTGATTTCTGAGGGCAGTGAAGGTGCCATCATATTTGTGTCCATGGGCTGAGAGCCATCCTGGGTTATGGGATCTTCAGGAGGCAGATAAGCAGGTGGAGGTGTATCGGCTACAAAATTTGAAAAGAAGCTTTAGTAAACACACACGCTTAAAACATATATTCTCTTCGGTGCCGAAATTCTTAAGAGATTAAGTTGCCATTTCAACCTCCCCATCGGAAGATTAGACGCTACAGGCGCTGGACTTGGTGTACACTTTTTGAAAATTACTACCATCTTATGCAATAAATAATCTTATACAATTGTAGTGAAGATTCAGTGGGACGAAAGCACCATATGCCAGTTCTAGAAGTTGTCTGCCTACCGAGGATCATGCCATTTTAAAACAATCAGAAGGGCATTTAAACATGCTTTCACCCAACCCACTTTAAAAGGGCCTCTGCATTTCATCATTTCCCTGGTGGACGGAAAACCTTCGAAAGCTATGCAGGACTTCTTAAGAAAAGGAGCTTCAGGTTCTCTTGCATTAAATCTATGGGCTCTTAGGGATTTACCAACTGAGTTTCATTACAGCCAACTTACTGTCTCCAACTGTGAATTTCCCATGACTTCAAGAATGTGCTAGGACTACCTTCTCCCTACCAACTTAAATATATAACAGATTCACTTTGCTGTACACCTGAAACTAACACAATGTTGTAAATAAACTATACCCCAATAAAAATTTTTAAAAAATCTTCTGTACCCATATTAAAAAAAAACAATAACCACAAGTTTCAAAATCCCTAGTAGCAGAATAATAGGAAAGAAATCAGTTTGTCACAACTATCTTCTATTTCAGAATTTGCATACATGTTTCTCCTGGAAAGCTCACAGCTAACTGGCAAATAACAGGCAAACTGTGTGATTTTTGAAACAAAGAACATTAACGCAAAGTCTTGTGCTTTCTTAAATAAGGATTTCCCACAAACAATCCTTTGTGATGGAAAAACAAGTTCCTCATGGGCTATGGTGAGCTCACCTCATACCACTTAGCACATACAACAGAGCAGGGAACAAAGCTTCACCTCAAAGAACCACCAATAGCTTGGATAGGGACTCTAGACCGCTCAGGGCAACCATCAAATAGAAAAAGCGAACACTACTCTTTCAGAGTTTCTCAAGAGATTTCCCAGACTGACCTTCCAGCTGAATCACAACCTGGCCACTTCCACCGTCCAGGTGCTAACAAGCCAGGCCTCAGAGCACAAAGACAGGACTATGGGGACCTGATCTGGATGTATTTTCCACCCTTTCTCCAGCTTTTTAAAATTCAGCTTCTTCCCTGCAGCTGTAACACTGCCTCTGCTTTACTTCCAGCCAGGAATGAAGACAAAGAGCCTCCTTTGAGACCAAATCCAATACCATTTCTGCAAACAAGCTGGTGAAAACTTCATCAACGACTTAAGGCATTAGCGTCCCTGGGAGGCACCAGATACTCTGGGTGATGCTCTGCTCTCCCCACAAGGTCCTCCTCTCACCCCTTCAGCTTTCTCTGCTCCATATTTCCTCTACTTGGCCTGTGCCTTAATCCCTGACAGCTGGGGACAAGGTGTAAATTCAAGCAATAATCTTCAGTTTTTTCACTCTTGGGCCCACCCTGGGTCTGCCACTGCTCCACAGCCTTCCGAAACAATCTCCTTGCCACTAACCTGTTCCTCAAACCCAGCGGGTCCAGGAGGGAGTGCAGTGGATAGCAGATTACCAGATGATACTAGTTTGATTTTGAAACAAGTCTATCCCTCACCCTCATCTTAAACCGTTTTCGACTGAAAAACAAACAGTGCAGGGGCTTGCCTGGTGGCGCAGTGGGTGAGAGTCTGCCTGCCGATGCAGGGGACACGGGTTCGTGCCCCGGTCCGGGAAGACCCCACATGCCGCAGAGCGGCTGGGCCCGTGAGCCATGGCCGCTGAGCCTGCGCGTCCGGAGCCTGTGCTCCGCAACGGGAGAGGCCACAACAGAGAGGGGCCTGCGTTACCGCAAAAAAAAAAAAAAAAAAAAAAAAAAGTGCAAAATAATAGGCTAAAAATGTAAAAAAGCAATAAATAAATAAATAAAAGATAGGAATATCAAGTGTGGACCACTTTTCAATTTTTGAGGACACACCAGCTCTGCTGTCGAATTCAAATCTGCCCAAAAACATGCTCGCCCACTCATTTTCCCTTCCTGCAATGTTAATAGATGTCAAGTGTATCTTTGCTTGGCGTATCCTTTGTGAGGTCTGCTAGCGAGAAATTGGGCACTAATCATTTTTTGAGGTGCTCGCTTATGAACCTATAACTCGAAAAATATAATGTCCTAATGAATCATTTAATCTGACAAACATTACACCACCAGAGAAGTCTAAAAATGAAGGATAATGGTTTTTTTTGTCTTTGTTAAACAAGCAGATGGTTTCCAGTACTCCTGATGCAAGTCTTTTGTTGTTAAAGTATATGTTTCTTGGGATTACATCACCACTTAAACGAATTTAATTAAGTTGTGTGGTGGGGTGTGATCCCCCAGGAAATATCTTTTCTGAGGCTGCACTTACGACAGGGATTTTTCCTTGCATGGGAACAGCAAATGTGTGCAGCATGCTATTTTTTTCCTCTTTCTTTTATCAAGCGCAAAGGCTGGAACAACTATGCCACTCCCAGAAGGATGCAGCTGTTTTAAAACCTTTTAAAAATCAAAAATGAAAATGTATTCAAGCACCTGTGCCAGACAAATAAAACACTGGCTTACTTGGCTAGAAGTCCCCTTTCATTCAAAGGTGCATCCTGAGTACTAGAGGCGCAGTGCCACGTACCAGGGCTGGAAAGCTCTCTCCATTCCAGGGAACCCAGCTTCACCTTAACACTGTGATGACAATTTGACCACAGAACATCACTGTTCTGTGGTCAAATCTGATCTGACCACAGAACATCACTGAACACTGCAACCTACCTGGCATCTGAAAGGGGCTTCCTGGGTCTGAGCTGGTTGGAGAGTGAGGGTAGGTGCTACTGCTGCTCCCAGGAGAGTTTGGGTAACTGCTATTGGGAGAATGAGGAAACGGATGGCTGCTGGGTTGCTGGAAAGAATCCGGGAAAGTGGCGTTGAGTGGCATGTGAGGCTCATTTTGTCCTAAGTTCCGGAACTGAGCTAAGAGGCTGTGCTGAGGATTATATTCACTGTGTCTTGGAACCAGTACTGGAGGAAGAACTGGAAAAAGGGAAAGAAAAGAAAAGCGGGACAAAAATGAGAATGATGAAAATCGTTAATAACGTCACAATAAAGTTGAAACATAATCTGTAAGTAACAACAAATCATTCGAACACTGTCATGCTGCCAACTCAAAAGCACCATTCAAATGAAAAGACATTTTTCACTCAGGAATAAATGCAGTAAAAACTACAGTCTCCTTAGAATCACTGATGGCCTATGCCTGAGACCTGCAGCATTGACAAACTACCCTAGGAAAGTCTGCAAAATACATTCTTTTAGGTTAAAAATGTTAAGGTTCCCTTATCCTTAATTTTTTCATTCACTAAAAACCAAAGCACAACTAGGAACATATATCGCCACTGACAATTCCAGTTTACATCCCTGGCTGATAAGATTTCACATTTAAGAGTTAATAGTATTTATTGAATGCTATGAGTTATTCACCACAAATGCTTTAAATGGACACATTAACTCACTCTAAACCAAAGGAAGTGTAGTAAATAAAGTTGAGAGGGTAAATACAATGAGCTGTATAAAATCCAAATGCCAATGAAGACAGTTAATTAGATAAAATATGATTTTTTGCGGGACAGACTTTATGTTGTGTACTAGCAGTCATACTTTAATGAACATTTTTCCTCTAAGGATCTTAATGTATTTACCCACTTCTCAGTAGTCCTTATCACTACCTGATAGGCAAAGGAAGAAACAGGTCATACAATCCACATTTTGCTAACTGAATGAATACTCAAGGTACAAAGGCCAAAAAACATACACACCAGTAGAGGAGGAAATAAAACAACTTAAGCCATTCCTAAAAGCTCCATATGTTAGGAACCTAAGGAGTTAATAATTAGCATGGTCCTCAACCTCCAGAAACCTCCAGAGGCAAAGCCACTACAAAGGCAATGATAAAGGGAAGGGCAGGCTGGCTTCCAGAGCCCTAACTGGGGTTAGAAGCTTCTTGCCAGGGTCACCAGATGGCTCCTCCCCATAATAAAGGTCCTTGGAATCCCTACTGCTCTTGTGGCCTTGGCTGGAAGGAGAAAAACAACCCATCTGGTAAACTACATGGGAGGAAAGAGGAGATTTAAAATCTGTTATTGTTGTTGGGAGTTAGGCCTCAGAATACATTTTCCCAAAGAAACCATATTTAGTGGCATTAGGAATTAAGTAGATTTTTGAGGGCTTTCCAGGGAATCTATCCATGACTGATACCATTTCTACAGGAAAAAGTACTCTTAATGCCTGGATTATCACTAATTTATGAGCTGAAAATTATTTAAGAAAAAAAAAAAAAAAAGGTTTTGAAGGTATTAAAAGTTCTCATGTGCTATATCGTAAATTTCTCCGTAATCCTGTAGCAATAAGATTTGCTGATTCCCCTACTATTTGATCCCTTAGAAACAAATCTTTTTAGTAGAATAAATGTATTTCCTTTTTCACACAGTGATGGAATCTGTCCAAATCATCAAAAGCATGATTCCTACCTATAGCGGAAAAAGAATAAATACATATATATATCAGTTACTTTGTTGTATGCCTGAAACTAACCCAACGTTGTAAATCAATTACACTCCAAAACACCCAACGGCCCACCCCCTCAAAAAACCCAAGAAGGAAAACAGTGGGGGGAAGGGAAAAGAAGGCCTAATTCCTCCTACCTTTCAGTAGTCATTTGAAATGTAAACCACTTTGTTTTGTTGTTGACAAAGTTCCCAACTGTCACAAAGGCTCCCCCAACACCAAGGGAAATCTATATTCCAAAATAAACTCTCTGAAACAGTGCAATATCTTTAAATTACCTATGCAATCAAACACTTTTCTTTTTCTTTCAACTGTTGCAGCTTGAATTACCGCTTCCCAGCTTGCCTTTTATGGTCATCTAGCTACAGCCTCCATTCTGATCCATACCTTTAAAAGGTGGAAAATACTGGCTTCTAAACCCCTCCTGCCAACTACAGCACCAGACAGCAACTTAAAACAATTCTCCATCTCTCTTCTCTCTCCCTTCCTCTCTCCCACCCACACCCCCTTACTGGAGCCCCTGTTTTAGCGACTCTTACTGCCTAACCGAGTTTTAGAACTGGGAATTTACTTCTTCCCACTGCTTGCAGATGACAGTGGCGGCAGAAGGCAATGTATTTCTGTACCTCCAGCTGATACTACGCACACACGTGTTCCTGTGTAACTTGCGTGGTGTGCAGTGGTCTGGCTCTAAAGCACCGGGCTGCCCTTAGTGTACACCACAGGTGAGCTCAATCAGCTTTTGTACATGACCTGGGATGTGAGCCACCAACTACAACGAAGCAGCACTCTATAGATGAACTTGACGAGCTCGATACCCTTTTCTCACCTCTGATTATTAAGATGAGATGATTTTGCTGCTGCTGATATAGGTACAGGTATATTTTAATGAACTTAAAAAAGGTATTGAGGTATCACACAACTATAATAAAATGCAGAAATCTTCGTATAAACGAAATCGTATATACTCTTGTGTCTGGCTTCTTAAGTTCAACATTATGTCTGTATGATTGATTCATCCAATGTATGTAGCATCTCATCATATGTATATATTACAATTTATTTATCAGTCAGCCCATCTAACCTCCTCAGAGGATAATCAATTTCATTTTTTTTTCTGTTTTATCCTTTCTGTGTTTCTTCTTGAAGAAATTAAGCAGATAAATGTTTGCTTTCTTATTTCACCTTTATTACTAAAAGGAAAGGCAGCCTCCTATACAGCCTTTGCACTTAGCTTTTACAACTATATCTTAGGATTAACTTCATATTAGTTGGTAGAGACTGACCTTATTTGTTTTACAGCTAATAGCACCATAGTTTATTCAACCAGTCTCCAATGTCTGGGCATTTAGGTAGCTTACAATATTCTACCATTACATACTATATTGCAATGAATAACTCCAGGCATATATTGCAGTATTGTTAAAGGTGTATCTTCAGGGTAAATGCCTAGAAGTGGAAATACTAGGTGAAAGGGTAAATGCGGGTATAATTTTGTTATCGTCAAGTATCCCTACATAGGGGTTGTACCATTTTGCATTGCTACCAGCGACAAATGAGAGTGACTTTTCCCTCAAAGCCTCCTGAACAGACTATGCTGACAGGTTTTTAAATAAAATTTTTTTGATAATCTGATGGGTGGAATATGGTAGGTATTGTGGTGCAATTCTAATTTATATTTCTATTATGGTGAAAGGTGATCATCTTTTCATGTATTTCAGAAGATGTATTTTTATCTTTTTTTGGTGAATTGCCTGCTTGTGCCTTTTTCCCATTTTTCATCTTCCCATTTTTCTTTATATATATATATATATATATGATATTAGCCCATGATATATTACGTTACAAATATCACAATCTGTCAATTTGTCTTTTGGCTCTGCTTATGTGCAAATTTATTTTTTGGTAGTCAAATTTATCAATGTTTTCTTTTATTGCATATGGATTTTGAGTGTTAAAAAGCCTTCTTCTACACCCAGACTGTAAGGAGGAATTCATCCATGCATTCTTCCAGTGCATATAAAGTTTCATATTTTACTTAAATCTCTGATCCTTTTGGAGTTCAGTTTACTTATAGTATGAGGAATAGATCTAACTTTATCTTTTTCCAAATGGTTAGCCAGTTGCCCCAATACCATTAATTAAAAAGCCCAGCTCTGGGGAATTCCCTGGCGGCCCAGTGGTTAAGACTCCATGCTTCCATTGCAGGGGGCGCGGGTTCGATCCCTGGTGGGAGAACTAAGATCCTCCAAGCCACATGACGAGGCCAAAAAAAAAAAAAAAAGCCCATCCGTCCTAGTGGTTGGAGATACCACCTTTCTCATAAATGTCCATGTATGTTAGGGTCTATCTTTAGACATTCCATCCCATTCCATTCTAGTCTGTGCCCCAGTATCACTCTGTTTTAATTATAGAGACTTTATAGTACATGCTAATATCTGTAGGGCTAGTCTCTCACAGTTCTTCCTTTTCAGTTTTACTCATACGCTGACTTTTCCATATGAACTCTGGTTATCACCTTGTCGACCTCCAGAAAAAAAGATTACTGGTACTTTTACTGGGATCACATTATATTTAAACATTACTTGGGCTTCCCTGGTGGCGCAGTGGTTGAGAGTCCGCCTACCGATGCAGGGGACACGGGTTCGTGCCCCGGTCCGGGAGGATCCCACATGCCGCAGAGCGGCTGGGCCCGTGAGCCATGGCCGCTGAGCCTGCGCTCCGCAACGGGAGAGGCCACAACAGTGAGAGGCCCGTGTACCGCAAAAAAAAAAAACAAAAACAAAAAAACACATTAATTTAGTAAGAATATATTGATGATGTTAAAATATTCTATTCAAGAACTAGGAAGGTCTGTCAACTCTACTTTTGCATCTTTCAGGACTGCCCCATAGCTACTGTCTGTATTAATTTGCCAGGCCTGCCCATAACAAAGCACCACAGAACTGGGGGACTTAAACAACAGAAATTTATTTACTCAAAGTTCTGGTGGCTAGAAATCTGAGACCAAGGTGTTGGCAGGTTGGTTTCTCCTGAGGCCTCTCTCCTTGGTTTGCAGATGGCCACTTTCTTGCTGCGTTCTCCCGTAGCTTACTTCCCTGGTGTTCCTCTGTATGTCCTAATCTCTTCTTATAAGGACACCAGTCAGTTTAGGGTCTAGCCCAATGGCCTCATTTTAATTTTCTAAAGACCCTACATTCTTAGGTATTATACTTATGATCAGGGCTTCAACAGATTCATTTTGTGGGGGACATAATTCAATCTGTAACACTGCATTAGGTTTTAAACATTTCTTAAAAAATTAAGTATTTTATCTTTTCCGTTGCTATTTTAAATGGAGTTTTCCATTCCATTATATCTTCTATCTGGTAGTTATTTATATATGTGGTTATTGATATTTCCATGCTATTTTATATATTACTACCTGGCTGAATTCTTTTGTTGCCTGAGTTATTTTTATCATTGACTCA